AGCCTGGCTGTACATTGGATCAAGGGGTCCGGGGAAATTTGAAGGAAAAACGGGAACAGGGTTCACGGGGGAAGTGAATGGGATAGGTGGTGGAATGGTGATGATGGGGGTAGGAACCTGGCTTGACGGTTGGGAACTTCCTCCCGGGAATGAAATGACATTCTCAGCGGGAGTAGAAATTTGTGAGATCACGGTTTCCTGATTACTGGCCATGACTTTTTTGTAATAGGTCCCACGGGTGGCGCCAATTTGATGGTGTAAATTACCACGCAAATATTAAGTGTGAGTAATCGGAAGGGTTGTAGGTGGAATCACCTGTGACCCGGTTTGTTATTAATGATAATAGGAGTTATTACAAATACAAGCCGTGTAGGTTAATTAAAACATGCCTCACAAATGAGGCTTTTAAGGGTATTTATAATAATCCTAAGCGCGTCAAGCACGTCTCTGATTATCCAACCGGTCAGGCGGCTGACCGGCCCACCAGGTGCACTTTGAAAGTAGATCTTCGGGTATTGGTGTCTGGTCTCCTCATCCAACCGGTCAAATAACCCGGGCTGAAAAAGACGCGTGCTGTTCGGTGAACCAACCGGGTGGTATCCTTGGGTTATTACCCATCAGTTTTAATATATCAAAATTTTTAAATATTTATGCATTTAGATTATGTTTAATTTGTGACCAAAGAATGTCACTGTTTGACAAAAAATGTCAAAAAAAGAAAAGTTTTTAGGACCGGAAAGAGTAGTCTATATACGTACAAATTGAGGTACACTAGCTCCTTGGGTACCCCTAGCATAGTTTGAAAATGGAAAATTATATTCGTACACCATTTTTAAGTCAAGGATTCGTCCTGAAATAAAATGTAAGTACAAAAATGTTATATGTCTGTGTTTGACTTATATTTTGTGTGAGGGTAAATCTTTATATACAAAATGAAATATAAGTGTAGCAAACCTTTTGAAAATATAAGTGCCTTGGAAGGCCAAACAGCCCGTAAAATCAGACGGACACATCATCATCAACCTAGGCCGGTAAAAAGTCCACAAAGAAAGCATGTAGCCCATTTGGACCGAGATCTCGTCCAAATTCGGCCACCCATCTCCGGTGGAGCATCTTCTACCCACGTACGCCGCCTTGAAGTACGCGCCACACACCTCCTCGCCTTGCCGGTATGGTACGGTTTAAAAAAGCTTTGATGGGTGTGCATAAATTTGACAAATTCTCTCTTCTAAAAACGTTTCTCCATTTGAGTTTCCTAGTCAAAGTTAAATATTCCCCCTTCCAACATAGCCTCCCTCATGTTTCATTCTTTAGAGATCCTCCTTAATATGGAGTAAGAATTTTTTATTTCTACCCCATAGCTTTGTCATTATCTTTCTTCGGCTAGGTTCTAGAGCCAGTGGCTACGGAAGCCACTCACCTAATTGGGACACATACGGTACTCCGTTCGCAAGATTGATAGTTCCTACCCCTTCTAATCCTCCCGGTAAACCCCCCTACCCGGTCCCGATCCCAACTCATCCCCCTAACCACGTCAATTGCGGGGTGCAAGTTTAATTGACTTTGGAGTCAAATTTTTTTACTTTAAAGTCAATTATACTTACGGGGTGCAATTGGTGTAGGTGGGGGATGATTTGGGGTCGGGACATGGCGGGGGGCTTTATCGGGGGAGTTAGGGGGTAGGAATCATCAATTTTATAAACGGAGCTCCGTAGGGGGCAGTGGCTTCCGTGGCCACTGAAATCCAGTGGCCACCGAACCGGGCCGATCTTTCTTAAAATTTAAAGTACTATAATTACATTAATTACCTTCATTCCTGAGTATTTGTCCAGTTTTGATTTTTTTTCCAGTAAACTATTTTTATCCTTTGATCTATAATTAAATAAAATATATATTGTATATTAATTAGATAAAATAATATTTTGAAAATATTTGATACAATAAATCTAATACAACTATTTTGTCTCAATATCCAATATCATTTTTGTTTAATTTGAGGTCAAAGTTTAATAATTTAGACCAAAAAAAGTAAAAAATGGACTAATACTCAGGAACGAAAGGAGTATTTATTTTATTTATTACACCTCACTCAATTCATTTAGATGTTTCTCCGTACTGGTGTTTATTGGCTTATTGCTGATAAGCAATTTTTAACCTATAAGCTGCTTATAAGTCAAATATTTTAATGATAGATAAATCATTTGTAAATATTCCTAAATGGTGAGGGAAAATTTTATAAATAATCTGGTCAAAATGAATAAACAAAAAAATTATCTTAAAAATAAGTTGTTAAGACCTACTTATTTTTTCTAACTAATAAGCTTCTTATAAGTCATTTTATAAGCACACAAGAATATGTAATCAGTTGACTTATAAATTAAAAACTACTTAGAAGCAATTTTGACCAATTTATAAGCACAGATAAACACACACTTAATATACTCCACCAACTTTCAGTAAAGATATTTTAGTAAGTTTTTACCTTCTTTCAACCTTCTTTAAGACCACAAAAAGTAAAAACGAGAATATTTTAAAAGGACGGATAGATTATTTATTTATATATTCTCATCTAGTGTTTGATAAAATAGTTCCTATCTCTTAACCTCCACCCCAACAGCCCCTGCCCCCTCTCCAAAACATCGAGTTGCTACAAAATTAATTTAGCAAATTGGTGTTTTTGAAAGGGGACAGGGGGCGCTGGGGTAGTAGATAAAGAGTGTTTGGGGATAGGAACCATCAACTTTTCGAATGAAACGCTGCCGTCATTGTTGTCATAATATGATATTTATTTTTGATGGCAAGAGAAGTGAGCTCTTGATAAAGTAATTTTGTAGTCAAATTATGTCACTTCTTCTTTATAGATTTCACTTCTAGATAAGTAGTTTTAAACTTATTAGCTGTTTATAAGTTAATTTTTTTTTTCGTGAAAAAAACCTAAATGATATGGAGTATATAAGTCATCAAGGAATATTCATAAATAATGAAAAATAGTTATGTAAATAATCTAGTTAAAATGGAATTTCAAAAAAAGTGGATTAAAAATAAGTAGGCAAGATCTTAATTTTCTTGCTTATAAGCATAGAGAAAAATGTCATTGACTAACTTATAAGCAGTTTTGACCAGTTTGTAAGTATAGAAAAACACGTATTTAATTAAGATTTCTTTATTAAGTTATTCAAAAAATTAAATGTTGTTTAAGGTTGGGAAGAAGTAATTGCAAAATCAATTTGAGCGTACTTTATCTTTATTAGCTTGAGTTACAACAACTATAGACATTGTGATTCACCCTTTTCTAACTATTACAGAGCATTAAAAATGGAAATAGCTACCGAAATCGCAGGGGGAATAAAACTAATAGTAATTCACCATATCAAAGAGTATGTTTACATGTTATATTGAGACCCTGAGAGTCTGAGACAAGCAAAACTTCTATTCAATTCTTATGACCGGAAGAGTTCCAGCTGGTCCACAACTTGCTAAACATCTTCCTGGGTCGACTCGGAGGAACGCAGAGCATTTTCTGGCTCCAAAAATCGTTCCCGACCCCGTCGTCTTCATCGTCCAACTCGTAGTCCTCCGC